GTTGCCATTACGTGTTTATATCAATTAGTACAAAAAAATGCAAAATTAGTATTTGATGTGGCGTCTCCTGGCCTTGATAATCAACTATTTTCCTTATTAGACACTGACCCAACGATCGATGGAGTAAAAGACATTGTAAAAAGTTGGTTGAATCAGACCGCGAATGATAGCCCTTCTACATGGGTAGAATTGTGTAGAAAAGTTATGTCCAAAACAGGATCAATAGCTAGTGCTGGTGCACCAATTGAGCCTCCATCATTAGATATTAGTGGTGGCGGTGATGATGATGATGAGCTAGGCGGAGGAGTAGATGACGAAGAAGTGGAAAGTTTTGGTGCAGAGCAATCTGATAGTATCGCAAAAAAAACCTCAATAAAAAATTCATCAACTAAAAATCATAGTCTAGAAAAAAATATAAAATTTTTGAATGATTCTTCAGTACAAATCCCACCAAGGTGGCGTACACAATTATTTGCAATGAAATGTTTACATCAAGTAGTAGAAGTAATTTATGCTAGTGGTGATAAAAGCCATTTCGATTTAATATCAGCAAAGAAAGTTAAAAATAATGGCAATAATGACTTTTTAGTATTGAAAGTAGCTGAACTTATAAAAATGGCCTTCATAGCTTCTACCGCTGTTGTGAGTGAAATGAGATTAGAAGGCTTAAGATTACTTAGAGATTTAATTGAGGTATTATTTACACATTAATCGCTATTAATAAAGTTGTTTAATTATATAGTATTATTCTTTGATTTATATTAGATTAATATTGTGGATTTTTATACTTAGAAATTTGCTGCAACACAAGATCCCGAGTTTGAGGAAGCAGCATTATTAGAACAATACCAGGTATTTATGATTAATCAATATATGCACCTTTATGCACACACGTTTATATGTTTATATAACTTAACATTTAGGCACAAATTGGAGCTGCATTGACCCCAGCTTTTACAGCAGAGTCATCACCAGAAATTTTATCTGCCGCAGTAAAAGTTTGTGCAGTGTTTGTAGGTAGTGGTATTGTCAAGGAATTGTATAGAATGGGTCGTATACTGAAATTACTGACTACTGCTTTAGAAAATTGTAAAGGTAATTTGTTAAATATAAAATTAAGAATGATATTTATGATGTTGTATTAACATTTGCTTTTCTTATAAAATTAAAATTATAGATAATTCTGGTGTTACAACTGTTGGGGATATTGGAGATTTAAGCCCTCACGCAGCAATAATGGTAAAGTTATCGGTTTTAAACGCATGGGCAGAATTACAAGTTTCAAGTGTTAAACAATCTTATCTTGTACAAGTTGTTGAGCCGTATCCTTCAAACCTTTTTGAAATAGATTGATTTTACTATATTTATATATTTATGAATGCCTTAACTTCTGAACTTTCAATAGAAACCTTTCATTATTAAGTCAATTGTGGGTTACATCTTTAAAAGAATATGCTAGAGTGCAAATTGAACCAGATATTGCAGAGGCGCAAGCTAATAGTATAGGATCAGATTTGTTACAAAACACCACACAAACAGAGGTTTTTGATTCAATGTACAGTGGTTTAACAAGAGAAGTCATTTTGCCAGTGATTATCCAAGTCATTTAAGATTGAGTTTTTATTATTATTATTATATTGGTCTAAAGCTTTCTAAACGAATATATGTTTTTTTTTGATAAATGATTGAATATAGTATTATAATAGATCATGGTTGACAATCTTAGGAGCAGTTGCAAGCTTGGTAGAAAGTGAAAATGAATTGATAATCTCTGCTTTGAATGATAAGGAAAACGACAAAATTGATTTCACATCATTAAAAAACGATGATGATTTTAACGATTTTAACGATAATAATGATGAATTTCAAGATTTTAATGATGCAAGTAATAATGATGATTTTGAAGATGAATTTTCTTCATTTACTGACATACAACAACAAGAAACATTTAGTTTTTCATCAACAATGGTTCAGAATCAGCCGACAAAATATTTTTTTATATTGTTTGGACTTTGTATTGAGGCATTGTCGCAGACTTTTGGAGGAGGAAGTACTATCAACAGTGACAACGATAATGATTTAAACAAAAATGAAGATAAAAAGGTTGTTAAAACATGTATAAATGCATTGAAAGCATTTTTGAGACCTATATCAGCAGGAACTAAATTTTTAGATAAACAAAATTTTGTTGAATTAATGAATTTATTTGATAGATTAGTACTCACAGAAGGATTTCAAACACAATTTGACATAATTCAAATCATTAAAAATATTGTTAAAGACTACGGTGCAACGTATATTTGTAGTGAATTATCTGAAAAAAGGTTTGTTAATTATTATAAAAGGCTTTTTATTGAAAAAAAAAACTTCGCATTATCATTATTATTTTTATCGTTTATTTAGTTCCCCAAAATTAAATGGTCATACTGAAGAAGATATAGATGATGATAAATTGTCTGCAGATGATGTTGAAGATAAATCAAAAACAATATTATACCAAATATTAAGAGTGCTTGTCAATATATTTTTTCAAAAAATATCATTACTTTCATCCAGGCCTATTACAATGAGAACATTTAGGCCTTTGCAAGGTTTATTTATTAGTTATCTCTTTTTTTTAAATAATGATAAAATCAATAAATTAATTTATACATACTAATTAATGATTTTTATTTTTTTCTCAAATTAATATTATTCAGGAAATTCAAAAGGTCAAACATTACAGCAAACCACAACAGTTTTAAAGGCTTCACTAGAAATTTTTACATTGCTTGTTCCAATAGTTCCAATAAATTACAAGATTGACTTGGTGGCAATAGCATTTTATGTTTATATGTGTAAGTGATTTTAAAAAGGAATTTTTTATGGAAATCATTCATATGTCTAAATATTCCTGATGGTTTATTATTTAAATAATAGCCATAATACAAGATTTGAAATTTCAAAATGATCTTGTGCCAAATGTATTAGTTAATTTAAAAATGTCTTGTGCAAGTTTGGAAGATCAATTTACTGAAAAACAAGATTTTGAAAATTATTCCAAGGTTTTACAATCCACAATATCTTCTGCAATATCCAGAATTTTATTAAATAGGTAAGACTAAATTAAAGATTTGCGATTTGTTTGAAACTTTTTATTGATCTAATTAAAAATGTTGTTTAGTGAAGCTACATCGGATGAAAATGAAGTATCTATAATAAAAAATTGTTTGTTGGCGATAGTTTTAATTTTCACATCTTGCCCAAATGCTTGTTTGAATAACAATGAAATACAATATAAATTTTTGGAAATATTGAAAAATAAATATAAATCCGAAAATACTATAGTAAGTTCATAAATTTATTCATACTTGTTTACTTATATAATATATATTAACATAATATATAGATGGACACATTGCTAACATTTATTACTATCAATTCATCAAAATAAAAGATTCCTTTTTAAAGGTTTAATTTAAAACATAATTAATTGTCTTCGATTGATAAAAATTTTTATTTTGGCTATTAAATTTGTCGATCATTATTGACTAATCACAAAGAAATTCCGTTATGCTTAAACAAATAGGAAAAAAACCAAAAATTGAGCGTATTCCCCCTTTGCCAAAACATACCAATAAACTTGTAATGATTATTGAATGAATTGGACTTTTATGATATGGAAATAATTGATACGGATAATTAAATCCTGATGGAATTATAATTGAAAATGAAAAAGAATGGATTTTGGAGAATTTATCTATATCAAATTTCATTGAAGTATCAATCACTCAATATACTTAATGATTACATTGAAAACTTAATTAAGAAAACATTAAAAAATCTAATAATTATAAAGATATCAAAGAACCAATGCTTGTATCTATTTTAAAAAAATATGTTTTGAATTTGATATTTGGAATTGTATTATCCGATGGGGAATTGGACAAATTGATAATTCAGAGTTAAATGAAGATGATCTCATAAATTTAAAGAATATATCATTCCTTTAACTAGATTTTGAGGCATCTCTAGCAAGAGATTTAATGGCAAATTTAAGCCACATCAAATGTTATTTCCTGAGGCTTTGTGGGAAGATATTTCGCATTATTATTTGACTCTGATGAACAACAAAATTCAAATTTATTGCCATTAAAGATAGTTTCAACAACAATCAATAATGAAAAGCAAGCTTTGCCTTTTGCAAGTTTGATTGATACAAAAATTTCACCATACACTTCACTCAGAAAAGTCAAATATGAATTCAAACTTCTATATTTCTATATCATAACAGTATAGATGGTCTAAAATCAGTTACGAAAATGTTATAACACAAAACTTTTGTAATTTCTAAAATAAAAAATTTAGAACAAATAATTGGTGGTTATAATCCACTTAATTGGAATGAAAATGAATGGATTAATAGATTGTTAATTATAATAATATTGATATTGATATTGATATTAACGGGTTAACAGGGTTTTAACGGATTGTTAATGTTAATATAATAATAATATTATTATTATGCAAAATTTCTTAACATTAACCCGTAATCCGTTAATTACCGGATAAGGTCTTAACACTATTTAGAATAAATTAAAATAATAAACAAAATTTATTTATATATCAAATTTCGAGTTGGCTTGAAGCTCGGCTCGTTTAGAGCTTTAAGAATACTTTTTTCCAATGAAGGAATGTTATTTAACAAATTACCATTTTTTACTTCATAATCATCATCGTCATCGTTACCACTTTAAATTTTCTGATAAAATAATAAGATAAAATAAACATTTAGTTAATATTGGAAACTGTTATAGTAAGATATGATTAATAAAATATGGGGGGTTTTCAGTAAATGTAGGCTTGTCATCATTTAAAGATATTTTGGGCTTTTTCGCTATACCTTCATATGTGATCCGCCAAACTAGCAAGACATGATAGTGCTATAAGACATGATGGCTCTTTTACACCATAAAGCTTCGTGGTTTAAATTACCCTGGTAAAATTTGCGTAAAAGAGGTTACAACAATTGCTTCATCTGTTCATCAAGAACAAAGAATAATTATTATCGCCATTATTAAAAACGTAATGATATTTGGAAATTTAGTTGTTGCTAATTAAATATGAAAAAATATGAAATTTTGTCCAGCAAAAAGATGTTGAAGTTTTCTAAAAAAAGTCTCAATATTGAGGGCAAATTTTCAGCAAGCAAAACGATAAGATTTATATTTCAATCATAGTTTGATATCATTTTAAATAAACTGGTTATAAATATTTATTTATAATAAACACTGGTTAATTTCTTCGTTATAAATTTTTAAATCTGAAAATAAGGAAACCTATAAAGCAAGTTCTTGGTTTGCAACTTTAATAAACAATAAAAAACTTGCAACTTGTGATTATGACTGATCAAGATCATGACTAAGGGTTTAATCATCAATTTTTTAATCGTCATTGTTAAAGCAACTGGTTTTTTCACCCCTATTTTCAAATGCAAGAGTAATAAACAGTTGTATCTTTTTTACAATTGAATATGAGGAATGGAAGGGTCATAATGGTAAAGGTAAAGGGTAGAAATTAAGTCTTGGAACCAGTACATTTATTTGACTTTTTACACGAATGGGTTAATGAAGATAATGTTGAAATTTAATGAACACCTTTATATTTATACAAATTAATCATCTTATAAATCATTGTTGAACTTTATTATAGTTATAATTGAAATATTAACAACGACGAATAATATTCTATGTATCTGTTGGCATGAAAACTATATTAGAGTGAAGAAGTAATTATTATTATAGAAAATATTCCGAGTTTCAGGGGCTGACGATCTTTGCAAAATATGTTTTTATATTTCAAAGCCTTATTATAGATTAATTAATCTTTAAATTTGGTCAGAGGACTTTTTGCCCCCACATGTGTTGCAAATCATAGTCACAAAATAAAATTCTTATTGAATCTCATATTAGTATTAGAGAAAGCTTGTTTGAATGCCTCTCTATCTTGGACATTTCTAATGAGGAAAATCTCTGAAGCTGCAAGCGTTGTAAATATAATGTCTTTTTCTAATCCCTAAAATGACAATATTAATACCCTATCAAAAAAGAAAGAACTATACCCGTTGTGATAATTGTTTTTTCTGTTCAGGAGCCATTAAAATCGCTCGGCCAGAAATCTTTTCTTCTTTTATCATTTTACGAGCTGTGCTAACCTAAATTATTTTCAAAAATGTGAAGAAATTCGATGATTGGACGGATAAACATAATTTATGTTACACGATTTTCGAAGATCAAAAGATCAATTAAAAAATCTACCCATAACTAAAACCCAATGGAGGAAGAACAGTGTGCCTCTACTACGCTTCTTGATTCCGTTCAAGATAACGGCAAAAATCCTATATCAACGAACACAACAGTGATTGATGAAAATCCGGCGCTAATAAACCCAAACGTGGCTGATAAATGTAAACATTCGATAATGATAAATCCGACTGTAGATGATACGCAATACCTTATAGATCCCTCACTTTTATCACAGTCCCATCAAAAACAACCTTTAGGACAATCTTCAGAACAACTAGAAGAATCGACACAATTGCAAAAAACAACACAAAAAGAAAAAGGGCCAAAAGAAATGGAACCACAAAAAGAACATACAAGTGAAACACCGACGACTACTAAAATAGTTCAACAAAATCAACAAGGACATTCCTATGGTACCCGTTTTGCAAATCAAAAACGCTCCACTCCAGGAATAGAAGTTCGCTCAAAAACCAGAAAACAAAAGAAAGAAAAAACAAAAGAATATTGTATTTGTCGTAGATCTGCTCATGGTACAATGGTTAACTGTGATATCTGTAACGACTGGTAATTGGTTTTTCAATGATGATTAAATAAATTATTTATTTTTTTAAATATATTGTCCCTATTTTATTTTGATTTTTTATACTCTGTGTAATTGATTGCTACAGGTGTCATATTGAATGTGTGAATCTCACCGAACAACAGGCTGTAGAAATGGAAAAATACATTTGTCCTAAATGTTCAGAAAATCGTCCATATATTGATTTATTAAAAGGTATTTTCTGTTTATTTATGTATATATAGCATCATCTTTATTTTTCGCAAAATTCATCTTCGATTTATTTTTTTTTATGATTAATTGTATATAACGTTTATAATACATTGTTATCCTTTGTATAATGAAATATAAATCACTTTTCGCCACAAATATTATCAAACATCGTTATAATACGTTCATTATTTTGAAAAAAAGGGGTTTTTCTTTTTTTTGAATCGATCTAAAAATGGATGATTTTTTTAAAACAAACCCAATCCTTTATCATCATCATCATCATCATCACCATAAATGTAATCGTATTCAAATGGCTAATATAATATATATAAAAAAAAATTTTTTAAAAAAAAAATTGTATAGATGAATGCCCATTACCTGAACCTCTTGGTATTGATCCGAAGGCTTCAATGATTGTGAAACACACTAATGATGTAAAAATTTTATTTATTATTTTTGTTTTTGTTTTTGTTTTATTTAATAATTAAAATTAATAATTTTAAATTAGGAATCATTAAATTCGGAAACCAAATGTCTGAATAAGGAGTGTTCAAATTCTACGCAGAAAAATAATTCATATTGTGGTGGTGAAGTGTGTTATTTACAAAGTAAAAATTTAGATAGTAAAACATTTAAAGGAGTTGAATCACAGACACAAAAACCTGTATCATCACCTTTTGTTGTTACAAAAGAATCAAAAAAAGTACCAAGTCAGGTACACTCAAAGTTCACTCTTTCTTCTCCCCCCCCTTCTTCTAAAACTACTACAAATAAAGTTTTAAATGCTTCTATGAAATCACATTTAGTGACTAGTAGTAGTAAATTACAGTCAACTAATGTAAATGGTGTGCAAAGTATTGCTGGTGTTTCTGCTACTAATAATAATAATGGTAGCAGCAGTGGTGGTGCTAAGACTGCTATTGCTAAAAAGTCCGGTCAAGGTTCAATTAAAAAATTACAAATTCAAGCCAAAAAGCCAACAAATTCTTTATATGATTCCAATTTAAGAGCTTTATGTACTCTGAAATTTAAAGAAATATTTGTTAAAAAATATAAAGACTTGGATCAAAAAGATGACTTACCAAAATCTGACGACACGATTGATCAACTTGGTGGAAGACTTGCACAAAAACTTGAAGAAGCTATACATGATGCTTTTGCTACAAAAAATGATAAAGAACCATTAGGTCAACCTTATAAATCAAAATTTCGAAATCTTCATACAAGTTTAGGACATCCAAAAAATGATCGATTGTTGACAAATGTTGTTAAGGGTGATATC